CTGTGGCCAGGAAATGTACAAAAAATGGCCGTTCAGTTCCAAAAGATGCTTTAAGGGGGGCGGAGCTCCATTACAAGGCGCTGGGTGATGTTAGAAAGACGGGTCTCCAAAGCCAACTTCCTCCTGCAGCTGGTGGATCTCGGTCAGCAGGGTCTGGTCCTGTAGATTTAACTGCAAGAGAGGAATCGGAGGAGCATGATGACTGATGTTGACTACAATGTTCCTTGTGAAGGCAATATACAGGCATACAGACTATATTTATATTAAAGCTGAACTGTAAGCAGATAAATGACACAAATATAATGTAGATCTGTTACCATTAATTTGTAATTAAATGTAAGCAGTGTTACTTCCTGAATCTGACCCAGCATCAGCTTCTTGCATTCTGTACAGCAGGGCTGGAGTGTGAGAGGAAGAAGCAGCATGCTGATCGGAGGACAGAGCAGAGTGATACAGAGATATGCTCATCACTGAATTGCTACTCTCTTTACTGTCCAATCACAGGCTTGGGGGCTTGTCCGGGATGACCTAGGCTCAGAGGAAGTAGGCTGAATGCTGGCCAGCAGACCAAGGACATCTGGTGGCAGTAAAAAGTACTGCGGGGATTGAAGCTGAATATTGCAGCACAAGCTGCTTTCCCTATTTTATCTTTTATTGGGCTATTTTAATTTTTGTCTGCAGTCCTGCTTTACAGCTCAAGCAGACAAATACACAGTTGGAATGCATATGTTTTAGCTGCCAAATGTTTTGTAAATCTGTTCAACTGGTCTAGTGATCCAAATATGGAATGGGATTGTAAGCAAAGTCTTGTTGCTGGGCATAGTTGGTGTTATTATTACTGCATACATGCTACAGGAGATGGTCAGAGACTGCAGACGTGATAGAGGAGATGGTCAGAGATTGCAGACGTGCTACCGGAGATGGTCAGAGACTGCAGACGTGCTACCGGAGATGGTCAGAGACTGCAGACATGCCAGCGGAGATGGTCAGAGACTGCAGACATGCTACCGGAGATGGTCAGAGACTGCAGACGTGTTACAGGAGATGGTCAGAGACTGCACACTTGCTACAGAAGATGGTCAGAGACGGCAGACGTGATAAAGGAGATGGTCAGAGACTTCAGACCTAGTACATGAGATAAATGTTACAGTAATAACTGAAAATGTGACAATACAGCCTAGGAGATGAAGAGGGACATACCTTCCTGGTGTATTTATAGGACTGCTCGGCCTCCAGCTGTCGTCCAGTCTACAAGAAATGTCAGATATATTAGTATATGGGAACAAAATAAAAACTTTAAAGTGAACCTGTCATGTCCCCTCTTCCCCAAACTAACAACACAGGGTGAGAAGGAAACATAGGACCAGGCCCTACGAGGTACCAGCAGGTACTTTTAATGACCAAGTGTGCATGTGTAGACACTTCTGATACTGAGGTCACCAGTGATTGTGTCATCTGAAATTACTGTCACTGATTAGATATCTATGAGATTCTCACATCAGTAATAGACAAATCCTCTGATATACACTAAACAGCGAGAACCTTGCCTTATCCATCCTTTCTAAATGGTCATATTCTGCTGCCCAGTGATCCCCCATATTGGCCAATCACATCTGCAACACTTGTTTGCAATTGACATTGATTCCATTTAGTTACTATTACCAACAACTTTGGTTTGCACCTCTTTATTATAACACACACACACACCAGATTATTATGACCGCCCCATCAGTACTTCTTTGGGCCGCCTTTTGCCTTCAATACTGCGGCGATTCTTCTTGGCATTGACTCCACGGAGATGGTGAAAGGTGATGCGAGGAATCTGACACCACCCCTGATGAATAGCGCTGTCCAGTTCTGTGACATTTGATGGTTGTGGAACCAGCTGCCTGATGGCTCTTACAGCTTAGCCCCACAAATGCTGCAATTGGATTGAGATCTGGTGATTGTGGGGGCCACCTAAGCAAGTAAAGTCTCCCTCATGTTCTTGAAATCACTCCTGCACAATACGAGCACCGTGGCATGGCGCATTGTCTTGTTGGAAGAAGCCATCTCCATTGGGATACGCCATCAACATGATCGGATGAACTTGACCAGCAACGATACTTTGGTATGTTGTGCTCTTCAGACGTTCTTCCACACGAATTAAAGGCAGGGGCTGACTGGCAACTTTTAGCCCAGGGGGCAAGTACAACCCAGAGGCCCATGGTGCGGCAACTTGACCCCCCTCCCGCTTTGCCTCTTCCCCCGCCTTCTCCCCGCCCGTCTGCCACTTTTGCCATCCATGTAACAGTAGTGTGAATGTATTTATCGGTTTAGGAAATGTAAAGCACACTGGTAGTGGAGGGATGCCACGTCAGGGCTGTGCGCGTGCATGACTGCTGCGACCCTGGTAGTTCTGCCACTAACTCAGAAATACATTGTACAGCATTGCAGAATGGCATTGGCTTTAGAGAACTACAATTCCCAGCAATACATTACACATCAATGCAGAATACCATCAGCTATAGTGGACTTTAAATCCCAGCAATAATGACTACCATCAGCTATAGAGAACTACAATTCCCAGCAATACCATTATACAGCAATGCAGAAACCCACACACCCCCATCCTGATTATAGAGCTCACCTTTAAGCATACAAGGGCCAGGTAGCCCCAAACCGAGGGGTTGCTGTTATTCAAGGCGTTGGCCTCTGAAAGAGCTTCCTCAGCCTCCGGCATCTCCTCCAGCTGTGGATAAGAAGAGTCTTCAGTAATTTTATGTCTAATAAAACAACTAATTTCCTTTTATAACTAGACCAATGCTGCTTCCCCCAACAGTGACCCAGAAAACACATTTAAAAGGGTCAGTAGATTCAAATAAAATATATTTCAGCTTATGGTAGATGCTGAACAGATAAATTGCACAATGGTCTCTTCTATCTCTCAGATAATCTATTGGTGAGATCTCTGTGCTGAGTTGAAGGGTTGCCACTAGAGGTGCAACGCAATGCAAATTTCAAAACCGAACCGAAATTCAAAAAAATGTCAGGCGGAAACCGAAAATGTTTTTTATTTTAACTTTTTTCAAATAAAAATTATTTTTTATAAACTTTTTAATTTTTTATATTGATTTTTATTAAATATTTTTATTT